TGAGAACCAGAACAAAATAAGCACTACGGAACAATCATCCAGGTCAGACGGATTACCCCTAGAATCCCGGACCCAGACTTCTGACATAAGGACATCATTATTTGCGATTAGGTCTTCGCTTCTGTATAAATTGATTCGGCCAGCGCGCTATCCAACTTCTTAAATGTTTCCACTAACCATTCTGCATTTGCCACTTACACATTTATCACACCTAGTTGTTGCGGATTCTTATGTTTCATTGTCTCCTGTCGTGTTTTTCGAACTAACAGAAATCCTGCTCTGCGTGCTTTGGCAACCTCGTTGTTGGCGAAAAAGGTTTTATGCCACTTGTCTTGTAGCCATCCTCGAGAGGAAAACATCGCGATCCTCTGATCGTCAAGCAATATCATTTCATTTTTCTCTGCATAACGGAATAAAAATTAGATTCATTGCCCACTAAACTGTCTTTAGGTGATATCGTCTCATGCCGGTCATATAATGCCCATCACGTCAATTTTCATTTTGACTAGCTTTTTTCCACTTGCATTATCTGTAGGGGTATTCCCAGTCTTCCCCAGTCCGTTCACGTCCTAGCTTTACTGTATCTCAGACGATCGCCCTCCATCTGAATAAATCAGCGGCTGAATCCCACAATGCATGCCAGCTTCACAAACCGTATGCTGCCGGACCATAGAAGCTCCCGAAGTCCGCTTCCACCACATCCGTTCGTGTTTTCGATTGGTCCCACGGATATTGTTGCTGGCCGTCGACCCCCTTTTGTCACAGCGTAATTGTAATTTAAGCCAGCTGCGAGAAAATATCGGTCCTTGAAATAAATGCCAGCAAACAATCTCGACTCCGAACATGTGCCAGTTTGGTGGAAATGTTTAGTTGACCGCGAAGACCTACTCATTTCATCGACCCCAGCATTTCGTTTATTGAAACACAACAGCAGACAGCGTTGTAAAGTCTGAGACGCATGTTTGACCTACTGTATTTGTCTGAGGCGTTTTATATTTTACTTACTTTTAGGAGATGCCCGCATCTGTGAAGACCCAGCCTTCGATTAGACCCCCATTTGCACCCACGGACTCTTCTCCTGATAGTGCTGCAGAACCAACGTGCTCATCAGCCCCCTCATGTTCTTCAACTCCCACGGCTGCCACGATCCTGGCCAAGCGCCGAAGAGACATACTTGCTGATGCTCGCAGGAAATTTTTGTCCAAGTCCGCCGCCTCTGGTTCCACCACTTCGCGCTAGCTTCTATGCCCATGGATCCTTCCACTCGTCTTTTATTTTGGAGAGCATTTTACTTAATATGTATATTTCATTCCCCTCTCTCCGAAAGTTGGAAATCCCTTTTGTCAGCTTGGTGCAGTCGAGATTTATGACAAATGTGCAGACTTTTGAGCGTCACACTGCAATTCTTCCTTTCAGCCACGGACCAGTAACCCTGTGTGTCGTATTAATGTGGCGTCGACGCTTGTGTTGCACATCCACGTCAGGGACCGTTATCCTCTTTTCGCCTCTCGCACTGACCAAACTGTACTTGATTTATTACCTGTTATCACTTCTTGCCTGGTCACCCCAGCTTTATTTCGTTCGCGTTTAATGTCATATGGTTCCCGATCAATCATACAATACAAGCTATAGTTGAATCTCTGACCCTTATTTACCTCTTTCTGCTGAGTAGTTCTGCCTGTCAATGAAGACTTTCTGGTATTTTCTGCCTTCAAATCGACTAGCACATCCTCGCGTAAATGGGTTCTTTTAGAAGAGCTTGGTATATTATAATATCTGGCGTCCTTACACATGCTCATGGAGGGGTTCTTCGGGATCGAACTTAGCGTCGAGCCGTCATGTCACCATCACCGAAGTCCGCAGTTAGGCTAGCTACCGTTTTTCCTCTACAAGTTTTCTTAGCTTTTAGGCGACTAACTTTAACCTCGCATCAGCCGGTGACAGTGTGTGCTTGAGAACCGACTTCGGACTTCGCTATTGTTGAGGGTCTTTCTTGGCTACCGATGCCTCCTCCTCCAAAGTCCGGCCGTCAGCAACTCGACTTCGTGCGATGAGCGTGGGAGCCGAAAATCTTGACCGGCACACAAGCGCGTAGCAAGTGCACACTTCAACATCTGGTCTGTCGAACCATGATGCACTTGCAAGCTGCCAACTGTGATAGGCATGTAGCGGCCTAGCGACTATATCCTATAAATACTACAACACCTGACCAGTCTACTACGCTTATCTGACTCTCTGACGATGGATTCGAATGAGAATCCGAAACGTCAGGCTAATAAAGCTCTTGTCCCAGCGATTGTGTTCCGCTCGTGATGCCGTCTACTCCTTGCCATAGGTCGTGGCATCGCGCCTATGCATTGGCCTCATATGTTCGTGTTAAGGCTGTAGTCGGTTAAGCAGATGCCGGGAATGGAGTAAGTGTGCCGGCGCACGAAGACTCCGGCCTGCGTTTATTACGCCTTTTAGATTACTAACCTTTACAGTAGGACCCGGAAAACTGCCTTAGGAGTGCATGTTTGATATTTTTGGGGGGCTTAAAGTTATCGTTTTGCTCCACTTGTCTATCTATTCGACATGTCTATAGCGAGCAACCAGGAGCACCACTGTAACTCATTATGAATACTCTAAACAGTTGGTCAACTTTTGGAATTCTCCACGCCATCTTCGCAAGTGTTTTATCTTTTGGCCCCTGTTGACACTCCCCTTTCCCCTTTTGTAACCCTCTTTTGAGCATGATCGGCGTTATTTTAATTAACAAGCTTTTTTGTTCTGTCCTTGAGTGGAGAATTCAATTTGTTCGAACAGTAACAACGGAGTTCTTTGTCTAGGGTATCCATTGTTGAGGTTTGTACGTTTTTTTATTATTACCTGTATTCTATCAATGGTGCCGAAATCTGTTTTGGTTTATACGCGTAACTCATCTAGCAAAGAATTCTATACTGCATCTATAACGCCTCTTAGATTACGAACCGTTACAGGAGCTGGAAAACTGCCTCCGGAGTGCATGTTTGGTGTTTATTTTGGGGGGTTATCGTCCTGTCCTACTTGTCTACCTATTTCGACATATCTATAGCGAATGCCCAGGAGCACCGGTGTAACTCATTATAAATACTCTAAAGTCGTGACTACTAAAACCGAAAGTCAGGGACTACTTTGAGCTATGCGGTCTTCGAGAAGCTCTTCAATTCTGCGCCCAGGGACTGAATCCGTCGATGTCTACGAGGTCGTATCAAATACGTGGATGTACCTTCAGAGGAAGACGAATTTTCACGTCACCAGGTACTATCATAGCTCACCACCCCTTACAATCAGATGGCCATCACGATACTTTGTAAACGTCCTTGTGTGAGACTAGCTAGAACTACTCCAGCGAACATGTCCCGAGTCAGTTATCCTTACCATATTTTCGAAGCTAGGCGACACCGTATTACCTAATTCTGAGCTATGTTGGGATTAGTGTGGCAAATACTTGGTTGTTCCGGGGCTAACGTTTCAAGCTCACCCGACAAAATGGTTCCCCGGCTGGTAAATCCACCATACGGAACGCCTGAGCCAACGCTAATCGCTGAATACGTAGCGGGGACTCATATTTTATCACGCATGTTGACTAACCCAATCATTGCTCACACGATTTCGAATGCCAACTCTTCATTTTATACCTTTTGTACTCCTTTTTCAGATGGTATTGTTAACGTTTGTGGTCGGACACCAGTAAAAACGGGTCGCATGCAGTCCGAGAACATTTTTATGGAAACGAACGGAACACCCATCAGTGGATAGTAAATAGTGCTCTACTTCCTAGCGGCAACAGGTGGAGTGGCTGGAAAGTTTCGCCGCCAGTGTCATTCATTGGTCAGATGTGGTTATGTAGTCCCACCTGAAGTAAACAAACCCCAGCCACCTGTAATACGGGACCGGTGGTAATAGGGCTTTTTACAGGTGAGGCCGGGGAACGCACGAGTGACGAGATCAAGTAGTTGTATGCAAAAGAAAAGCTACTGGGAATGCGCGGCTGTACTCTGAGTGGTTGATAAATAGTTCTTCGAACCCTGACACTAACCCTAGTCCCTAATCCTAACTCCTAACCCTAACAGTATTGTGTCTATCAGGTGGGGCTACATAACCACATCATACCCATTCATTGGAAAATAGTTTGGCAAGAGCAGTACCGCAAACCTCCCTGACGAGGAATATCGTTGGAGATCCCCAGTGCCTGATATCTAGCACATCTACGGTACGACAGCAAGGGCCTGGCAAATTCCCAAGACCATCAAAGATTGAAATATTTTATAGTGAACATCCGACGGCGCAAACTCAGATGATACACCCCCCCCTCCCAAAATTACGGTCCGACAACTGCTCAAAGGGAGTCTGGCAGCTCCCTCTCCTCCAACATTCCCTCGACACAATTCTGTGAGAAAACCAAATCAAGGTATTGATCGAGAAGACTACAATGCGTGAAGGAACTGTAGGTTACGAAATCTGCCGTGGCTGTTAGTCTCAAGAAGTAGGAGCTCATTTCCATCGGTGGGGTCAGGAAATTCTGAAGAGGTCACATGACCGACGTCGAGTGTGCGCTTCGCAGCGGCGAGGTCAGTGTGAAAATAGGCGTGGCCGGTTGAGAGGGAAGTTGCGTCGGAGTAAGAGCACGCCTCGAATATTCCCAAATAAACTTTAAAAACAGCATGAACCGAAAATCCGTCAAATTGCGATTTTGGGGTTAGGGGACGTGAAATACATTCTGCCGTGACAGAATCGCAGAAACAACAGCGGGTAGAAGCGAGTTCTTTTAAGTTAGAAGAACTCGGGTCGCAGACAATATTGGGCAACAGCATAGGCTTTGTTAAAAGTGGAATCTTACTGTTTGTATTGATAACCCATTTTATGAAAGTGGAAGGCAAAACACAGGGCAAGTAGTGAAAATACTCTGTAAAATTACAAAAAACGCAATACAGGGTCCGTTAAATAAAGTTTCAATCACAGGCAAGGTGACTGTTGTTTTACCAACGGGTTCGCATGGTATTCATTTCTTTTTTCTCCCTACATAAAAGAGAGGAAGTTTTAGGAAAGTGTAGTGTCCGAAACTCACCCATAGTGACCTGTGAATGGATTACAGCTCTTTAGCACAAGGGACGTAAACTAAAAAGCTGCGAAGGGGAGTGACGTTCCCTTCTTGACTGACGCAAATCGTCCAAGTATAATCCTGGTGGTAAATGTTATCTTCAAAATCTTCTAAATCAGCGACGGAAGAAACATCTCGGGCCACTTTTTGTCCTAAACTCCTCTGCGAAAGTGCCCCCTTTTTCGCAACCCTCTGCTGTTCCCAGGTCGTAATAGTCCAAGGTAAGACGCTGCTTACCTGCAACAGCTGCAAGGGAAAGCAGCGTTTCTTAAAAAATAATAAGCTACTGAGATTTCCTTTCTTACGAAGAAATGAACACCCCAAATGGTGTTACCCGTACATTGCTTTTAGGTATCCCGACAAGCTCAAAGAAGTAAACAAAGGGCAGTGTCGGCAGACACTTATATCAATGCTGTCCAACCACTACACAATAGCATATGCAGGTAGTGCACCATTTCCAGTAGTTAAACCATTAAAAGGCGGGAACGAAAACGGGGCATCCAACCAATAACTTACTGCGATTGAATGAGTTGTCGGCAAAAATCCCTCACAGTGGTTACGTCAAGAAACATTGCAGCTCTCAGTGTTTCCAGCGCGTTGTTCAAGGAGATTGCCATTTGGCCGGTGTAAGCGTATTCCACAAAAGCTTCTAGTATGCTTTAAAAAAGTTTGTGGGGAATTAAATGCTGCATACCTTGGGGAAACCTCGTTAAGTATCAGCTCAAAATCATGGTTTGCAGGAAGGCGACCATCCACGAGTTGCCGAAAGAAAGGGATTCTGGAGGCCAGGATTAACCGATGAGCTGGTATTTTAAGCTCGCCACTCTACAATATGACGGAGCGCTGGTTTAGGCTTTGGTAAAAATATTTCTGTGTCAGGAATGCGACGTACCTTGTAGACGAGAAAATAAGTACAGAAAATAGTTGCCCTTGAAGAGGTGCAGGACATTATTAATTACTACTCCCCTTATCCTATGAAGAGAACATGGTAATTTGAAAATTTAAAAAGCTGGAATTCATATATCTCCACTTTTCTGCTATATAAGCTAGGCTCCTGCGGCAATCCGTTTGCATGGGGGTTACAATCGACTTGGGTGGATGGTTTTGCCTGGCTCGGTACCTGCCAGATTAAAGACAAAGATTGCTCACCTTTTGCCCAAAGGTCAGTTCTATCACCTCTGAGAAGAAGCAGTATTCTTCCTAGTATTTTCTTAATAACTAAGAAGGAATGGCCTTCCACAACAACCTTGGACAATAGCAGTATGCGCAGGAATAAAGATTCTTCCAGGGAATGAGGTCGAGGAAAGGCAGTGCTAAGGACAAAAATATACCAGCTTGAGGAAAATGAATTGCTCACCGGATCGGCGGACTTTTCTGGCAGACGTTTCGAAGAGCCGGGGCTGCTCTCTCCTTTGTCAGAGCGTCAACTGAAAAAATCGACCAGAATTTTTGAATAGATCGCCGTATTAGTTGGCCTTGGGCTGACCGATTTTTATCTTCTTTCGCTGCCTTAGCCTACTGTCCGTCGCCTGTGAGCTTTGGTGGCCTCCTGTATTACATGTCGTCACTTCACCTGGGGTTAATTGCGTTTGCGTTCCCCTTTTGGGTGAAGTGGTCGACAGGCCGTGCTTGCTCGGTATTCTTAGGCTCCGTATGATTGTCTTGTCTTCGTCACGGCGTATGTAATGACGTAGGACTTTATAGGCCGAAGGAAGGTCTAGATGCCTGTTTAGGGAGTTGGCATCTGAGTACCAAGCCTCAAGTGTGAGACGCTCAGTCCTCGAGGTGCGCCTGCCTAAGACGGCTGTTCCTTGAAAATCAAAACTGCGGCCAGTTTCCCCGATGTGAGCCGCAAGCTGTGAGTTGGGGTCTTAGGCCCATCGTCTCCCTACGTGGTACTCCTACATACGGTTTGGCAAAATTGATGTTTGCTCGTCTTAAGTTCTTGGCAGAAGGATCGCCAACAACAGTGGCCTCTGTTAATCAGTCCTTTGAACGTTTAAAACATCTGAAACTAGAGCCAGATGAATCGACAGCACCCTTGCCACGAGGTATTTGAAACCATCCCCATCTTCAAGTTGACAGCCACTAACCTCAAAAGGTGCCTTCTCCTGTTCGGGAGGTACGGTTTGAAAACACTTTGGTCCTTTCATCGTTTATGGATAAACCGACGAACTCGGCGACCTCATTCACTCGTGACATCATAGACTGTAGACCACCAAGGCCTGATGCTGGTAAGGCGATATCATCAGCGTAGTCGATATCGGTCAACCGGCGGCCGACTTCCTGTGGGACGTTCGTCAGAATCTAATCCATGAGAGACAGGACTCGACTTTGCCGAATGCCAGACAGAATATCGAACGGCTGGGAATGATTGTTATGGACTAGAAATCGTGCCTTGGTCATGGTGTTGATCTTGGCCGGCGTACCGTCTGCTTCCATTATTCGCCAAAGGGACTCACGAACGGAATCAAACGCAGCGGCGAAGTCAACGAAGCAGACGGCCGTCTGTTGTTGGTAGCGATGACAGAATTCAAGAATGCGTCTGAGTGCAAATATTTGGTCCGCACATCCACGTCCAGCTCGGAATCCGGTCTGACAGGGCCTCGCTCTAGAGTCGCGTGCGGCCTGGGATTACTCCAGAAGGTTGACGGCGAAGACCTTCGCAGCAACGTCGATGAGGCTTATACCGCAGTATTTCTCGCATCTTGTCTTGTCACCCTTCTTGAAAACACGCGCAAGGATGCCCAAGCACCAGCCATCGAGAACAACCTCATATCTCCACATTTGTTCAATTACCTTATGGAGCCAGGGCGCCACTTGCAGATTTCCGGGGGAATACCGTCCTCTCTGAGTGCTCTGTTGTTGCGCAGCCTTTGTGTTGAATTCGAGACTTCTTCTTCAGAAGGGCGTTGCACAAGACTGCATAGGTCGGAAAGTAGTTAAACTACGCTGCAGAGGAGAGCGAGGGTCTGAAAGGTTGGTCATCGAAGTTGAGTAAGTGCTCGAAGCGTTCATGTCAGCGATCGATCTTCGTCAAGTTGTCAGCAATAAATACGCCATTAACGTTGCGAACAGAGTCGCTCGGTGTCGAGGACTTATCACTACTTTGGCAGATAATTCGATACAGTTTCAGAATGTCACCATCATTTGAGGTCCGTTCCATGGAGGTCGCTGTTTCAACTATCCCATAAACCGATGACTTTAAGGATGACCACTGACTACCGTCTTCTGCGTCGGCGCGGGTTGCAAAACAAGACCTGACTTCTCAGCTCAGGGCTTCAGTAGTGCTTGGCTGTCAGATTATAACATCTAAGCGTCTCGCACGCGGCGTCTTGGGTGGAGAGGAGGTGAAATTTCAATCGTGTGCGAACAAGAGCATTGTCCGACCCATGGGCGCTGCCAGTTTTGGAAGCACGCATCGATCTGCCATTGTTGACTCACCTTCGGAGCCTTGAACTGACTAGAATGCAGTCGATCTGATTGGCCGTATGACCATCTTTTGAGCACCCGGCTAGCAGATGCTTGTGGTGATGTTGGAAGTATGTGTTGGTGACAAACAGTCGGTTTCGATCAGCAAAGTTCGACATTCTCTCACCACTGTCGCATTGCGAACCAAGTCCAAAACGGTCAATAAGGTGACTGTTGGCGGAGTCGCCAGGTCAGGTTCGGCCATTCCAGTCCTCGGCAAACAATCAGTAGACCCCGGAGAGGGGGTCTCTCTCAGCCAAAGTTTGCAGCTGCGAGTGAAAAATATCTTTACCGCGCTGTTTGGCAGCTGATGTTGGTGCGTACACGGGACGACGGTGATGTTCATAATAGGACCCTTTTGTCGCATATAGACCATCTGCTTATTGGCTGGTTCCCAGGCAGGTAGTGCACGGGTCGCGTGTCGCGAGAGGGCGATCGTCACACTGTGCTCATCAGAAGAGTCATGTAGGCCGCGGTGGTACAGAGCAAAGTATAAGTTGACTCCCGGGATCTTTATGTCCCAAGCGTCAGAATCAGGAATTCAGACTTCGGACAGACAGCAGACATCCACATTGTACTGATGAAGACGGTGCGTCGACAGACTTTGGGTACCATTATCCGGCTTTGCGGCATTATATAAGGCTGTTGGCGTGCCGGACCCCAGCCCTGCGCACCCTGGTAGCCCTGTCTCCGCCGGTCCGCGACTGTTTATTCGCCAGACTCGAGTCTGATTATTTCGCAGCTAACCTACGCTGGAGGCTGTTCCACTATTCACAACCAGTGGACGTGTAAGGTGGCCAGCAGCTAGCCTAAGGGATGGCCAGTCTTTTATGGAGTGAAAACTACGATAAGCAGGCATGATGAAAACTAAGGCATCAGGTAACCGAATTTCCAAGCCTACAACAACTACATATATTTAAATATGGTTTGCATTTCAAAGATTAAATCGATGACTTCAGGGAGAGCCTAAGTAGTCGTATGAAAAGACCAATAAAAGATGTTACGCGTAATTGGAGGTATGTAGCAATAACTTCGTAGACGTCTGCCGGTGGCAGAAGGTACGTAGTTGTGCAAGTCTGCATTCCATTGTACAAAAAAGAATCAATCCGGGATGCCAGGGTAAGTTTCGGTAGTCTGACGGAGGATTGTAAATTTAAATGACAGTAAGTACGGCGCCCTTAGATGTATCCTGAAGACTAATAAGCCAAAGTTATCCATAAAGGCACTCTCACATGCAAATTCCGGCTTTTATGCGCGACTGCCAAGACATAATTCAACTACACCTCGAACACGACCACAATTCGAAGGTCAAATATTCGCCGAATCTATGTCAATGCCAAGTTTCCCGTCTCGCTCTGTTGGAGTTAACATTTCTCACCATTCAATAACTAAGCGTATCGGAATGTCTAGTTGCGTAAATATTAAAATATCCCGAGGAATGACTAAAGATGCAACGTTATGGACGTTCGCACACTGCTAGTTGGTAAAGTAATATCATGCCAGAAAAAATATCACTCCCGGCATTCGTAAGGCAAAATATAACATAAAGGCTCAACAGTCAGAGTATAGAATTACGCACCTGTGCAGAGTCCTCGAGTAACTCTTGTATATTCACAAAGGGATTTACTATTGCATTGGAACCTATAGGTCTTTTAAGACCCGACTATTGTACAGTAAATAATTCTCTTAGCTTATCACGGTATCGTTAAAAGCACTCCGGTTATGAAAGGACGCCTACGATAGGAGCGAAATTTAGTTACTACAGGAAATAATATGGTGAAATTAAGCGCGTTTCAGACGTAGAGCGAACACTAGAGGAATCAGTAGCTACTTATTCCTTTATTGTTCGCTTTACGCCTGAAGTACGCTTAATTGCACCGTATTATTTCCTCCTATCGATAGGAGGAAAAGTCAAATTCAAGTGCATGCATGGTCTGGCGAATTCGTACAAAAACAGTGCAATCGTGGAAACGGCGTAAAATGGGTGATTCTATGCTAGATGCGCGGGCATCTTTTATACCGCCTGAAGGGAATGGTTCAGCTGAAATATGCCACATTTGCATAGGTAAATAGCTAAGATGGTGGAAAAATCTATCGACATCGGGTAACTCAATAACATACGCGTAGATGTACGTCTATAAAGTTCCCATCTCTGCGTAGTTCGTTGAAAGCTGGATAATGCTGGGCGAAATCACCGCTCCCAAAAATCACAGTATCTGCCATACCAGTTTTTCGACTTTTCCGCTCGAATATCAGCCTGGCTAAATCTCTCCTACGGGCTGTACTGTGTTCAATTCGAGTTTTTTTTACAGATATATAAGAACCTACTTTTGTTTTAATTTTGATGTTTATCAGAAGTCCACTTTAGAATGTTTTTCACTGTCTCTATCGATTTATCTATGCCGAGTCTCATAAACCCGTTTTATGAATCCGAATGATTCAGTGGCTCTGTTCGTGGTACTTCGTCTGTACTGCAATTTTCGTTTTGATTAAGCACGTATTCAATCAAAATTTCCGTCTCCTCCTCCTCCTCCTCCTCCTGCTCCTAAGAAACAGCCGTACTTTATTTCCAGTCAGCCATCATTCCTCATATACAATCCGAAGTATTCGATATAGCTCGAAAGCGAAAATATACCTATTCCCTCATTCCGAAGTTTATGAAGTCTTAGCAATTTAACTGTGACAGTACGAGCAGCGCCGGTACATCGTTAGAAGATAATTCCGGTGAGATTTCCTTCGAATCCAGAATCTGCGCTCGCTCTATTTAAGCTTCTAGCCAACGATCAGCAAGGCGCGCCAGAGGCGTAATTACCGTGAAAATGTGAAGTATGAGGATGAGTCAGTCATATCGTCCTTGGGAAAATAAAGCCCCTCCACTTTCTGAAGGAAGACTAGGCAAGTAAGCTCCCTCGACAGGTAATTTTTTGTGACATCGCTTAGGTCATCTTGCGTTAAATTCGAGTCTGCCGTTGTCGGCGTCTTCATTATCACTGTCCTGCTTTTACCGGTAACCGCGTCTGCTCTTACCGAGTTGTTACCCGTGTTTGGAGATGCTCCCAAGACGATATTTTTCTCGATTTTTGCGTTTTACTCTTTATATTTTTGGCGGCTGGATACCAGTGTCGCAACACTCCGATTCGCGGCGAATCGGAGTGTTGCGACACTGGTATCCAGCCTAAGATTGTAATACTGTCAAATGGCCATTCATAAGACGTCAGGTCTCTGCATATACCAATGTGGCTTGTAAAGTTAATTATATGGATCAAATCCACGGCTACATTTTATGAACTCCTTATTTCAGTTTATTCGGTAAGGACAATAGGCAAAGCCTTTGAAAACCCGGTCGGACAATTGTATATAGCCTGGACTGTTGAAGGCGAAAGAGAGGTCCCTGTCATACGGGATCGGTGGGAAAGGGGGGTCTTAAGGGTGGGGTAAACGGGGAACCCAGCGAAGAATAAAGAAAAAATACCAAAAAAGGTTTAGAAAGTAAATAATAAAATTTGTTTGAGGGGAAAATGTGCCGAAAATTCAAAAAGGAAGCCGTAAACAAAAGGAGCAGGATACCCAAGGCCAAGGCCATTCCGCTGAAGGTGCCCCAGACAATGCTGCCACTGGTGATGAATCCTGGTGAAATACCAACGACAAGCAGGTCTGGGGAAAGTGAACCCGAAGAACGGTAAGTATGAATGCAAAATACGCAGGACGGAGAGGACTGAAGCCGTATATATTAATTTGTTCAATAATTACTAAACGTTTCCCACTTATAGAACGCTGACAGCAAAGAAGAAACGTAAGGCCGCTCCGCAAGCTAATAATCCATCGGAGATTGCACAGATCCTGGGTATTATCCAGTCCCCATATTTAGTGCAATATTTACGAGCGGAGTGTTTCGCCACTGAGTTATCGTACCCACACCACCATTATTGACAAAATTCCAACCTCAGGAGTTGCGCGATTTCAGCCAATGGGACTCCATACATGAGTGAATAGACCACATCGGATTGCCAACCCCTACTTCTTCTGTGGCTCCAGGGTGAGTAGGGATAGATGGGGCAGCGGCCAAGACGGCCTCCGCGCGCAGGCCAGGGAACACTGTCCATGGACCTTCGCGGTTTGAGCGGCGATGCGGAGTGCAGACGACATATACAGGAAATGAGAGAGACCAATGAGATGCTGACAACCGCCATCAAAACGCCCAGCCGGGTGTTGGGGATTTGGTGGAATAGTCGGGAAAGATCCAATAAGGAAAAACGGGAACCGACGATAACGATTTAGCAGGCGTTAACGACCTGAATGAAGAAGTCGCTGTTGGTGCACCGATGGCAGCGACCAAAAAGTGGCTGCCGCAAGCATAAATTAGTACAACTGGAGCATGGAGTTACCAGGGCTATTGGCCGCACACTGGCGATGCAGCCACGAGCCTTGGCACCAGGGATGGCATGAAACCAGCAAGTAATGATTACGTTTTGGGCGAGACGAAGAAATAGGCTGAACTCGCCGTACATGTGGCCTTGCAATGGATGGAAAGGGTTGCCTGATGTTGAAGAGAAGTTACATCTTGGGCAAAATTCACTACCAATGGCAGAAGAGAAAATGAGGAAGTTGACAGTGGAACTGTCGAGGTCCCGGTGAAGCAATGATCTGACTATATCAAAGGTTACAAATGGGAAGGCTCACTTTCCACAAGGAGTCACTACACTAATGTGCCTTATTTTGACTCAAGGTGAACTGATTTCGGTTATTGTATGGGCAAACGTTTCTGCCCTTCTGGTTTTCTGTTTCTTACTCTCTATCTTTAGGAATTTTATAACTGCCAAGATGTTGGACAATGCCAGGTGTCTGTCGCACTTCACTCTATTTGATTCTGCTAAAGTGATGAAGGTCTCTTTGAAGCACTGATGACCGGTTTCCCCTACCAGTTGCCAGGGCGACTAAAGCCTAACCGGCTCTTTGTAAAACATCGCAGTCCACATTAGTTTTTCGGACAACCCTGCAGTGGGCGGATCGAACCTTATGACAACACAAGTAGCAGCCTCCCACTCCTGTGCATCTTCCAAAAATATCGCAAACGCGTGCACACGTACACACATTTGTGGTTAGAATGTGTGACGGCATCGTCCTAGCGCATTGTTTTTGTGGCATGGAAGCCTGTATCTTTAGGCCAATCCGGCTGAATTCCGCATGCGCTTCACCTAGGCGCATATCGACTGACTGCCGCACGCACCGTCCTTCCCCCCTTTTAAGCGGTTGGCTACCGTGTCTACGCGCAGGCTTTTCGTCCGCAGTGTGCAGGTAAACACGGGACCCGACGACCTTCACGCTCTGTGTCGACGTCATTGGCGCCTCTTCACCAAATGGCGCAGGGAAATCTCGTTGTGAGGTATTTGCTTACACTCTAATGACCTAGTACTTCAGGTCCCAGAAAAAGATCAGGGTACTGTCAGCAATTTAAGTCACGGCTGCGTTACCGGATGTCACCCGAAAATTTAGACGCCTCAGTTTAATACGCGTCAGTTTTCTCGTCATGGAAAGTTATGAATCCCTCACTCAGCGGCCGTCTAGTGCTCACGGCCTCAGCCACCTTGACAGATAGCCCTCCATTCTTTCACAGACTGCCTCGCTTTCTAAGACACTACTGACTTTGAATGTTCGCGCTCTGTGTGCCTGGGCGAAGGATGCTAAAAGTGCACGCGTGGATGGAGTTTTGATCATCTGGAGTTCTTACCGGCCATCTATAACTTGGATTAATCCCTTAATTTCTGAGAAACGAAGAACTTCATCATTGTTTATTAGCGTTTCCTCTACCAAAAGGTAACGGCCAGCTCTGCGGACCAAAAGATCACCTAAGAACAACTGGGGTTTGCCTCACACCATAGATATTTGTGAGGGAGGAGTGGGCCGTAGATTTGGAGGTTGCAGTTCTCCTGACATGAACGTATGCGCACCAGATTTTTGCCGATGCAGTTACATGGCCAAATTTCCCCTATTTATTTTACTGAAACTACTTTGCCCCATCGGTGGGCAGTTAAATTTTGGCTTGAGGGACAAGTAGTCAATATGGACTTGTTTCTCCAAGGAAAAGTTGTCTAATCGTCTCCTCTTACCATACTCTCCTTCCGTCATTCCTCGTTCTCATCCCCTTAATTGTCCTATAATCCTTACTTACAATTTTCGCTATCTCCTGACCGCCACATATGCGCTTGCTTTGATATTACTTGGTCCATTCATTGCCATACTGGATATTGTACAATTTTGACATAGAAGGCATTCACAGACAAATTCATTCCAGTGACCAATGCTTGTTGTATGTAATTACTTACCTTTTTTCACACTTGCCTTACACATTGTTTTTTTATGACGTTATTGTAACCAAAAGGGAGTTCAAAGGCGCTCGCCTACTTTTCCCTTAATAAATCTGATCTTATCTGAAGCTAAACGAGTCCTGGCGACGGAAGTCAGATGTCGCTGTCGTAAACCGATGCCATTGCGAATATTGCGTCAGCACACAGACGGGTTTGCCTTCAGGTACACGAAAATATTAATATAATGCATTGCCTAGGTGTAACAAATGTGGTACCAAAAGGGCACTGAGAACTGGTTCGGTGTTTAAGGATAGTCGCCTGACTTTACCGAAGGCAATGAGAACGGCCATAGCGTTTTTGGAGGGAACAAGTGTGGTGAGGTGCGCAGCTGTGGTCGGCATAGGTGTGACTGCGGCAGTCCAGTGGTATGACATCTGACGGGATGTCTGCAGTAAGGCCCTCCTCAACGAAGCCAAACAGTTAGGAGGGCCGGAAGTTGAGGTTCAAGTGGATGAAACACTGATAACGCGCCGCAAGTAAAATGTCGGACGGTTAGGAAATCAGCACTGGATTTTGGGTAAGAGTCTGCAATTCGATGACCAATCGCAGGCATGTACGATACAAGTAAACGGAAAGCGATATTTGAGCAAGTGAACGATCGCAGCTGGTCCTCCCTAAAGGCCGTTATAAAGAAATGGGTTGCTCCCGGAAGCGTAATCGTGACTGACCAGTGGAAGGCATATGGAAGGCTAAGTGAAGAGGGATACCGACACGAAACGGGGAATCATTCAAAAAATTTTGTGGACCCCACCTCCAGAAGGAACACGAACGCAATTGAAGCCTATTGGAGTAGGCTGAAGAAGAAGTTACGCGAACACGGACCTACCAAAGGCCGAAGGAGATGGGCCTACCTCGATG